CAGGGAAACGAATGATACAAAGAAATGGTCTTGAGGAACTTTCACTTCTGTGGATCAAATTCTGTCTGATGGCAAGAAGGAACTGCTAACTGAAAGCTGTTCATCACAGCATACAAAGCATACTTAGCTTAATAGGCAAACACCAAAACCATACACCAACTACAAGCTATATATTATCATAGAAACATAGAATCACAGCATATCTCAAGTTCGCAGGGACCCACAAGGATCATCGAGTCCAACTCCCTGCTCCTCGCAGGACTACCTAAAACTAAATCATATGACTAAGAGCATCGTCCAGATGCTCCTTGAACTCTGAAACATTTGGTGCCATGACCACTTGAAGCGTGTTGAGACCAGGATAGGCACAAAGAGTAGCAGAAGTTTAGCTAAAAAATGGATTTGTCAAAGAATTTTGCCAAAATGCAGTTTTTGGTACAAAAAGGGCATCGTGTTCTGGCAATTGCAGGATACCTGCGATTTCAAATGCTGCATGCAACGTACCTTAGTGATTCACTTTGCAAGTGATATACAGGAAATGCAGCAGACATGACTGCAAATTGAAGCTCTATAGAAAGGAACACAGTTTAAACCACTAAAAAGTGTGGGAGGAAAGGAAAGAATGGGACCTCAGCTCTACAGGCCTTTTTCAGGCCAAACCCTAGAAAATCAACTGGAAAGGCCGAGTGCTCAGCACTTTAGGTAACCAGGCTATTTGTTTAAGTGCCTGTATACAGATTTATGAGCAATGGTTCCAGCTCTTTATAAATCCTTAAGCACAAAGGCAGAGGGTTAATATTTCAGAATTGCTCAGTTCTTTATTATATTAAAAAAGATTACGTGCAAATCTACATTGTAGAGAGGATTTTCAGAAGACCTCAATGCCAAAAAAACCCCAGTATGGCCACCTTGAGGCTTATAGAGAATCAATTACAAAGTCTGCTTATCTTAGACCTAAATAAGGCCTAAATGTATTTACAGACATGACCCTAGGACTCGATCCATAAATACACTAAAACAGTTAATTTCTGTGCCTACTACTATTAGATGCACTGTGTGAGACTTGCCCCATCTCTGAGGCCTCAGCTCTGCCCCTTCATCTCCAGTGAATTTCACTAACACACGGTGGTTTTACAATTCTTATTTCATTGCAAAACCACCGTTGCTATGTGAGGGCAGGAGGGGTTGCAGAAGACATGGGTGCATCAGAGGTGCCCCCCATGGTTGCTGCTCCCCGGCCCTGCCGGTCCACTCTTTCTGTGTGGATCCTCGGTCTTCAGCGCATCCCCAGACCGGGGGCCAAGTTCAAAATGCGTGGTGCTGCTCGCATGGCACGTCTGAGAGGAGGCCGTATCACCATTTTCCTAAGGACCCCTGCTTTCTAAACAAATATGTCGCTGAAAGAAATCTTGAGGAGAGGGGTGGAGGAAGGAACTCAGGGGGGAAAAAAAAGATGAGGGGAATTGCCTAAAACCAACCTAAGGAATATTTTTCTTATTCCAGCATGAAATGTTGACAGAATTAAATGTGGGATTAAAAAAAACAACCTTCTAACACACAGTTTCATGTTACCTCCGCAAGAGTTTTGATTCCACTTATGAGACTTCCCGAATGAAAACGCTGGCTGTGTGCCTGCCTCAAAAATACATTTTTTCCTCAGCAGAGTGGATTTGCCAGTTGTCAATGCCATTTCTTTGCTAGCCAGCAAAATATGTTCGTACTCACAGCAGGCAATTACCATTCTTTTCTCTACTGGTAAGGGGCATGACTTCACTCCTAGACCTAAGATCCCTGGATCCTTTCCTTACTGCATAGTCTAGTTAGCCAGCGTAATTAACCCTTAAAGCAAATGGAACAATTATTTCCTTTCTTTTTAAAGTGAGTTTAAATGGTTTCATCTGAGAACGGCTTTGTAAACAGGCGAATCTGTTTTACACATTTGCGGCCTGTTCCGAGGGGCATCGGTTGCTGGGAACGCCATCGGAGCTAAGCCGCCTCGCACCACCACTTGAGAACCGCGGTTACAGTCAGCTTTCTGAAAACAAAAACACCAGGGATCGGATCCAAAGCTTCTTGAAGTTAATGGGAGCCTTTTAATTAGTTTCAGTGTCTTTGGGGAAGGACCTTAGGGCAAATATTCCTTTTCGAAACTTGTTCTCCAACTCGTGGGGCCGGGAGGTGGTATTTTTCATGCATACCCAACAGTGCTGCAAATGCTCCCAAGCGCTCTTATTACAACCCCCAAACCATACCGGGAAAAAAAGAAAAAAAAAAACACAACAGGTCTCTGGAATACAAATCTGATCTGCTTTGTCTGATAAGAGCAAGAATATTCCAGTGAACACCAAATGCGGTAGTGCTAACAGATCTGGGCACCTCACTCCCAGCAAGTAGACAGAGCATATTACTTTTAGGGTCCCGATCTGTGCGAGTGAAGGTCGTGCTAACCACTGAAAGGTGCCACAGTGGGGGGGAAAAAAAAAAAAAAAGAAGATAAAAATTCAGGGTCCTTGTATAGAAGCAGCTGGGAATTCAGCTGTATAAACCAGCTGCTTAAAAATGCCCGGCACAGAGATTCGCTATGATCAGATAGGTCTTCCACAGCATAGCCGGGAAGTCTAGGGACCGAACCACTAGACATCCACGTTCGCTTCGACAGCCCAAGGATTACATCTTCCCTTGTGGGACAGAAGCACGATCTCCTACTTCTGCCACTGCTCACGCCAAAGCCGGCGTTGTGCTGGAGACAGAAAGGCCACCCTTGGTCACACTCCGGAATTCATGTAACGCAGCTCCTTGCTCAAAGGAGCAAAGTTAACAGCTTCACCCCATGTTTACACCACAAAAAACCAGGATCAGAATCTGCACCACAGTACGTGGGGTACAACTTTCCAGCCCAAATATGGTCTTGAACTGGAGTTATGTAGAACAACCTGTCTGTACCAGAAAATGCAGACAGCTTCTTAAGGGTTACATTTCCTTTTTACATACTTCTACATCAAAACCATATTGCAGCCTAGCCTGGGATTCAAACACATCCTACAAAAACAGGCAGCATAACTCTGATATTGAACTCCAGCCCAGTTTTAATTGACTGCCAGCTCTCAGCCACTTCCTAAAGCTCCAGATAGCCAACACCAATGTTGTAATTTCTAAATGTGTGCTTCTCTCAGCTGGAGACCAAATCTAAAGGCTTCGGGCTTGCCTTTTGAAATATAAACATGGTATCTCAGCTCCCACAATGGACCCCCACCTTAGACACCTTTCTGAAGTGGGGAAAAAAAAATTAAGGGGGGTGGCAGGCAGGCAGTCGCTTATTAAGATGGCATCCCTGGAGTATAAACAACCCAATGTTTTCATTATTCATTGACAAATAATTTAAAGTGCTGCTGGTGAAATCCCTTAGAAACCTCTTCAGGCACTGGCAACAGAGTGGACTGATAAGTATTTTTAATTAATGTCACTGTAATCACGTGTTCCATATACTGAGGTTGGTGTTTTCATGCCAGTAGTTAATAGTAAAATGGCTTTCAGTGCATGCTACGGTTCCCCAAAGCATGAGTCTACAAAACCCAGAGGCAGCGGTCTTGGGCAAGAGAAATGTTTACTCGCAGGAATTTAGGTGAACACTACACACTGTACGTCGCTGTGGCCAGGACCGGCTGACAGTGCACGGAAGTTTTGTCCTAGCTAGGTGTGTAACATAGTGTAACATCACTAACATTTCTAGGCTTACCATGCCAGACAGCGTGGTGGAGCAAGCCAGATCATGAAGTAAACCGGGTGCTCGTGAGTCCCTCCCTTCTTCAAATGGTTACTCCCTCTTTTGAGTGTCCGTATTTTCCCAGTTCTGCTGTACTCAGTATGACCTCCAAACACCTTCTGAGAAAACACTTCCTCTGCAGAACCTTCTTGGGGGAACGGCCAACAGCATCTCGTCTCTTCCTTTCAAGTCAGAGTAAATTTTTAAGCAGAGGCCAGGGATTGAGACAGCCATGCCGAGGTCTGGAGGGTTCTCAGTCTGCTAGTCCACAACAAGAAGCAACACTAGTTTTGTTTATTTGGTTGGAAGGTTTCAAAAGCGCAGTGAAAAACATAATGTCACTTCCTCAAGCAGGCATAAAGACATATGAAAACATGTTCTCCAGCCAGCCAGAGAATGCGGTTTTGGTAGCAGCGAGGAGGCCGCCTCTGTCGCTCTGGGAAATGCACTTAAATGAAAGCTGAGTTCCAGTCCCGGCTCCCAGTGTAAGGGGAGGGGTGATTTAGTAATTATTTCTCTTGTTCGTTATAGCATCTCATGCCTGAAAAGCTTGCAGAATATTGGCACTATCCCAAAATATCCCCAGCGCTGATACAACATCACAAAGCACCAGAGAGCAATGATGCATCACCACCTCCCCACACAGCAACATGACATGAACGTCACTAAAGAACAAGACAGTGACTTTATCACTGAGTAATTTAATTGATGATTTGAGCTCTAAATAGCCACTTCACCTCCTCAGCTGCATCCCTCCTTCTAAAGATGTCATCCACACTAAACTAGCACTTACTGTTGTGATACTGATTGATGCTTCATGGCAGCAAGTAACAGAAAAGAGCTCTAGTGAAAGTTCATTAACTTTAAGCTAATACATTTCATGAGAGACAACAAACTGAATCACTAGGGGAGGGAGAACAGCTTTGATTAACAGGAGATGATCTGCAAAACATCAGGAATGTCCAAAAGACGAATGGAGCAAAGGATGAAACAGAGGAAGATGGAGGAAGATGGAAGAAGAATGGAAGGGAATACAGTCTCTAAGCACAGGACTGGCAACACAAAAAAATCCAAGATGTAGGTTCTCTCGGTGTTTATTAGACAAAGTAGGATCTTTGTCCCAACGGATGCCTAGGGTGTTCACTTACTTTATTCTTTTTTCAGAAAAAAAATATATGGAGAAGCTGAGAGGAGAACTGAGTATGCAACCATGTCAGTTTATGACTATTTCACATACCATACTCAAATGGTCTTTGTTGGTCAGCAGCAGTTTCAAGATAACTCGAACGATCAGGTTGCTGCTTAGATTGCAGAGAAGCTGTGAATCCACCTCACAGTTGCACCAGACTCCACGGCTGTCCTGGATGCAGGCCAGACGCTTCTCCAGGAGCACACACACTGATGCAGCTACTCGTGCATCTCTGCCTTTCCCACCCAGCCCCGCCTCCTCTCTACTCCGAAATTTCTTTCTCCACTCATGCCTTGGACCCACTTTGTCCCTTTCTGAGTGTATTCTGTACATCCTCCGCTCAAACACTTGGTCAAAAGATTCCAGGAGGGTCAGGACAGAAACCAAACCTGTGACGCTCTCTATATTTCTAGGTATCATTGCATAACAAGACTGAGGTCTCTTAAATCTCCTGGAGTAGGGGGATGCAGGCAAATTCCCACAGCGCAACTCAGGATTGAACAGGTTTCTAAAATTCCTCCAAATTTCTTCACTCAGTCTCTAAACAGAGCAGGGATGTGGAACATGTTGGTACTTGAAGTTTAGAACTACCACTTCGTTAATTATATAGCTGATTATGTAGGACTCTGTTGGCTGACTTACACACAAAAGCTTGGGCATTTCAGTAAAAAAAAGTAAAATAAATAGAAAGACCTACTGTCACAACGTGGCAGGAGCTAGGAATGGTGAGAAGCAAGGTCCTCTGGCTTCATGTGTGGCATTTACAATATGGAAAACTCAATGCCACACATGAAGTACAGTAAAAGTAACAGAAACAACAAAGTAGCTCTTGGTTTCCTTATTTAAACACTTCAACTACAGCTGGAAGCTCCCCTTCTGCAAAAACAACCCAGTCAGCACAAGCCCTCTGAACTTTTTCACCCAAGTTGCCTTGCAGAAAAAAATACAGTTTCTTGCTTATCAGTAACTGAATTTTTAAAAGTATGCGCGTATATTTAGGGAGGTTGTTGAATTGCAGAAACTTGAGCTACACCCAGCAGATATTCCTTAAAAAAATAAAAGCCTTTTGTGCATTTTGATTGGGATGGCTGCTAAAAATACTCCAATGCAGCTGTTTAATTTGCTGTAGCTCAAATGCTAGTTTTATACTTTTAATTGCTACTATACAAAATTCTTTGATTGCATTTGATGAAATTAAGATTTTCAGTGTTTAATGATTAAACCTGGGGAAAAAAATGTAACCGCATGCTAGTTAAAATGTAAATTGGCTGTGCTGGGAAACCTAGGTAAATCTTTTCAGACGGTTGTCACATATCTACTTATACCTAGCTTGATAAACTTCTCAAAAACTGTAGAATTATATCATTCTACAGTCTCTTAAGGGTCAAAAAAGTTGTTCTATTATTAGAAATCTTAGCAGTCACATAACTTTTGCACTTATTTCTGAGGATAAAATGCGTCTCTGTAATAGCAAATGTCACATCTTGAAAGACCCAAGAAAGCCTGGTTTAGATACACACCATTTTGTGGGTGCAGATTTTACACACTGTCCCTCAAGCATGCAAACGCTGGGACTCACACGGACAAAACCTAAACTCTGAGAGTGTGCAAACGCACATGTGTATAAATAAGAGGGACGTTTACAAGAGCACACAGAGCTTGGTGGTTGAGGTGTTTTGCTATGCACACAGAGACACAGGTTTTGAGTTCTTCTGGACTGATGCCGAAAGCCACCCGCAATGAACCACGCGTTCTTTCGTCTGTTGTACCTTGACCGCGTTAACGCGATGGCTGGCTGGGGAGAGAGCAGAGCTGTCACCTTAGAACGTCAGAACCCTCAGTGTACGATCACCGTTCCACCACTTTTTCCCTATAAAAGGTGCACGCCGCAGCGCTGGTCTCTCTCAATTTTGGAGCACTCCAGACTGCTTAGTCTTACCGTAAAGCTGCCGTAAGGGCCGTGCCCTTCATCTGACATATTTCCTCTATCTGGGTTAGGTGACTGTTGTGTCAACATCTGAGATAATGAGCTGATGTTCAGATTATCCTCTGGAAACTCAAGCCTACCACCCCAGACAGTGTTACTCAAGCACAGCTCTGGCAACAAACTAAATATATATTGTTCTTTTAAACAAGAGCAAGCATATGAAAGGGAAAGCTGAAGTGCTGAGGAAGAAGACAGTGGGTGTTATTAGAAGCATGTACCGCAGGAGCATTTGTTCTCACAAACTTTTTAAGAAATACAGCAACAACTACAGCATGCTGATACCCATTGCAGAATCCGAGTCTTCATGTAACGGCACTGCAAGCACTGGACTTTGCTGCTAAATAAAAATCGTGCACCTACTTCACAAGCCACACGGGGAACACCAGGAATTTAAGAGAAGCCTCTGCTCCTACGCACGTATGCAGTAGGCTGTGCTTAATTCAAACACGCCATGTTTTTTCTTATGCTGTTACATTTTTACCTAGTAATTATATTACAAAGGCACACAGGCAAAGGACAAGCACACAAAGCACACTCTCTTTCCATTTTCTTCCTCCTTGCAGAAAATGCCAGGATTTAAGACAATCTCTCCGACTGATTCTTGCTGCACTAAATTCTACCTTCATCTAACAATCTAGTATATTTTGCACCTTTAAATTTTTAATAAACTTAAATATTTTGTTAGGCACCGTTGATTATGCCTCGTGAGTACTATACACTTTGTTCTAGTGTAATGAACTCTTGTCAGATGTAGGTACAGTAATGCTGCCAAAGCTTTATATAGTCAATTCTTACAGTACCTCAAATGGAAGCAGTATGAAATCCCATCTTCATGTCAGTCATGCACCTCCCACAGATTACAGTAAAAGTGGCATGTACATGTATGCATCTGGGGTTTTTTGGTTTACGGGTTTTTTTCCGTTTTGTTTTGGGATTTTTTTAGGAAAACTTGTTTCATTAATGGGGTGCAGAAAGAATTGAACTAGTTTTCTAGCCTAGATATCTGAATGAGGTGCTGTCTCAAAGACTCAGAGCAAGACTAGGGTCAAAACAGAGACACAAAACCACTACCTCTGGCAGGGATTTGACCATGGTATGCCTTGTATCACATATTACTAAGGGTAGTCAGGGGAGAAGTGTGGGACAAGAGTTCCTGTGTCTGCCCAAGTTCCCTGTGCAGCCACATGGACCATGCATGACCCATGCTGCAACGTATGCTTGTGTACAACCCAGAATACGGAAGAGGTGAAGCCTGAGCTCCCGTAACCCTGTTAAGACAGCTGCCCTAGATTTGTCCCAGGGTGCACAACATGGTAGTGGGAGCACAGGTCGGGGAGAGTGCTGTGCTTTATAGCTCAGCCCCTGCCCCATGGGCCCACAAACGGCACAGAAGTTGCCAGTGTGGTTTCGGAGAGGTCTCACACTCTCTGCTCTACTTTCTCTGCTATAAAGCATATAGGAAAACGTTGACTTGTCTAATTTCTGAGTGTGTAGCCATCGCCAGAGCATTTTTAGGAAGTCACACCAGAAATATTGCCCCTATATGTTAATAAAATGGCACCTGCTTTAGGCAGTATGGACTCTCACGTTGATTTTGCTACATCCTCTGGCACTGCTGCATTCAGGCCCTTAAAAGCTCATCATGACTTAAGTCTGTCCACTCCTATCCCGCTAAATATATGGTTGCAAAAGTTAAACAAATGTCATTAAGAAAGCTGTGATCTTCCCTCAGTCATCTTAGGCATTTGCTAAATCTGCCCTTTTCCATGGTGTTTTCTGTGATCATGATGATGCCTGCAGCTCCAACAGAGGTAGTAACAACAGGAGCACTTGTTTATACAAGCCACAGAGAGCTGTCTACATTTGAGTATGGTTCTCTTTTGATCTCACACGCACAGTTTTACCTATTGAGCCCATCTTTTTAACTATGGCCACTTTTCCCATCATTTAGAGAAATCTGAACTGATTAACATGAAAATAAAATGTCTTCTGATAGACTAATCTTTTCTCTGTGTGTGCCAATGAATATGGAAAATTTTTCATGTTTTTAGTTTCACATTTCTAGTTGCATTATTAAGATTGTAGTAATGGTACAGGCTTGTTTTAATGACAATATTTTTTGATACAAAGCCAAAACAATAATCTGGAGACATCGTCTCTCATTATACAAAAGCCTGAGAACAAGCTGAACTGCAAAGTGGATACTGTGGAGCCTAGGAAGATATGGGCCCTCTTTTTGCTTATTGATTTTTACCAGAAATAAAGATTAAGAACTATTCCAATCTTTTCTCCTAGTCTTTGCATTAAAGAGAGAGGCTTATTCAAATTATAGTGAACAGCAAAACCCATCCACTCTGAGGCATGACTCATGTTTTTTTCTTTTGAACTCCCAGCCCAAAAGCAGCAATGCGTGGTAGAAGTCATGGGTTCATTTGCCAACGCACGACATTTTTCATGCTGTCACAATACATCTTGTGCCAGCTAATCAGCCAGCCAAGAGTGGCACCCACCAGCTGCAGAGGACGCTCATCACCTCCATTCCCAGTTGGTGGGGAAGTGCCATGTAGGGAAAGAGAAATGCTGCTTCTAATAAGCTATTTGTTAAAAAGCAAACAAAAAAACAAACCCTTATGACAACATCATAAAAGATAATATAACAGTGTCACAGAGTCTTTCAGAAACAATTCATTAAACTACTTTAAATATTCTTATGCAAGCTCTGGCACGAAAATGCTGCAACGTCTGTATAACCCAAGCAAAAGGCGATGAAAGATCCTGTACAACCTCAATTCCCCCTCCCTGTTCCTCCCCCAAATACTGAAGTTGCCAGGGTTTCACAGATGTTTTGAGATCATAACACAGGGTCAGAGGATAACTGGTAAGGTCAGCTGGAAAAGGGGGAATATAAACACTTTTTTTGGACCTTCATGAATGGGACTCTCAGAATAGGAACTTAGGGCTGCAAGAAAAATGAGATAATCTGACTCCATTGCTCTCCTATACTGTACTTCTGGTTCGGGGTTCACAGTGTCTTCTACATGACCCAAAGTTATTTTACCTGCTGATTTCGTGAGTGCCACTCCAGAAAAGGCAATGGTAAAGGGATATAAATTCTAACCCAGCAAGAATAATTTCACATTAAGAAATAATTTTACATTAAGGAATAATAAAAAGGAAAGATATTCTGGAGGTTTTAAGCAAAATAACGAATTTCCCCCCCTCGCCGTTTCATTATAAGAGAGCAGCACACTCTACTGGCTGCTCCCTTGCAGTTTTCTCGATAAACCTCTATGCATTACTGTAAATCAGTACCTCCTACTGTTCCACTGATACAATCAGAGACAACATAGTGTAGCTGGAAAAAAAGAAAACTGAAGGACACGGAGTCCTGCTTCTGCCACCAGCTCGTATTACTCGAGGCAAATGACTTGCCTTGCAGCACTGCAGTTTCCACGTTAAAAGAA